ATCCTAATAGAAAAATGGAATCCTATTTTACCTTTCTACATTATCTTTTTTTTTTGAGTTCAACGGTTAAAGGTGTTCGAGCTAGTTTATACACGTCTTAATTAATTATCTTTCCGGTCTGGTCAAATACAGATCATCCACATCGAAATTAAGGTATTCATGACAGATAAATCTCTTATAACTTGATTCCATGAAATTGTCAATGTTCTAAACTATGACATCTAAATTTACAACTAACCCTTATTACCACTTANCATGACAGATAAATCTCTTATAACTTGATTCCATGAAATTGTCAATGTTCTAAACTATGACATCTAAATTTACAACTAACCCTTATTACCACTTAAAGTACACCTTAAGATTCCTTTCTATGCTATCAAGTGCAAATTGATTTGCCTCTATGACTAAACCTCACTGAAAAATGCGAAGTTTCTCACTGACCCAAAACAACAAGCCAAAAAAAAAAAAAGAAAGAAAGGAAAATAGGAACATTATCCACTCGAAGGAATAGAAAAACAAATGGCTTGAGTCCTCTATAAAGTGAATATATTCATTCTTATCCTGTGGGCAAGAAAAGAATATAAAATAAGTTCATTATTATGTATTGAACATGCTTAGATGTTTCATGTTCATATATTATTTTTTATTTCCTTTTTTTTTCTTCACCTTGTATAATTTTGGTATAATAATAAAAGACATGATCCAATTATATCAACCCTCATTTTAAAAATGTTATGTTACAAATCAATGTGATCGACGATTGAAAAAAAAAATTGAGATCAATTCAAATTGTCGAAAACATAACAATTTTGAACAAGTACAACTCTTATTTAAACGAAGTGAAAAAAAAGATGCGATCTTTGTTATCGAATAGGAAAAATCACTAATACCTTAATTGAGTCGATGAAAAAAAATTTAGAAATGAATAACAACTTGAACCTTGTTTCCATGTCTTTCTCAAAAAAGGCATTAAAAAATGTCATGTGATTCATTCTTTTGGAGTGGTGGTGATCAATGAATGTTTCTCTCACCGAAAAGAATGATATAGGCATGGGCCTCCCTCCCTCTTCTCTTATCCCACAAAATGATAGGGCTATCCCCTCTGGTAATGCCACCAGGCTGGCTCTCTTATCGGTGACAGCTCTACAAGGACCGGTGGTGGAGCCACCACAGGCTTCACAAACGCAGTCCATTTTTGACACACACACATACACACATTTGCATGTTTTACGTTACATCTCTATGATATTAGGTATTCTGTTTTTCATATTAGGAAAAATTTTAGTCACATTCTCCTCTATTTTATGAATTTTCACCGACACCATCTGTCAGATTAAAAATATTAATTAGAATACAATTTTACTAAATTATATATGATATATTTTAGTAAAACTTTCATCTACGGTCCTTCTAGATAGATATATCTTTAATGAGACATCCTCTATTTTCTAAATTATTTTACATATTAAAATACGATTCAAGCTAATTAAAATTCATTTTTTAGCTATTAAAATTCTAGTCGATTAAAAATTATATTATTTTAAGTATTAAAATTTGAGCTAATTCAAATTTTAATCAACTTGCACTTTAATTGGCATGAAATTTAATAAAGGAAAAATATAGATTTTAATCTGCGCTAATAGTTTAAGTAGAGCTCAAAACGGTTCGAATTTTAATGCGTTAAAAAAAAAAAAAATTTAATCAACTCGAATCAAATTTTAATCAAAATTTATATAAAAAGATTGTTTAGAATTTATACAGGGACAATTTTTTTATATTTTAGACGAATTTTTCTTGTTTAAAACGGTGGTTTAATAACAAGTAGTGTCAATAATATTTAAATATAAACTAAAAAGAGTGTCAATAATATTTTGAATAATATAGGGGCATCCTTAAAAATATGATAAATTAAAAAAAGTGTGGCTGAAATTTTTCCTTTATATTATTATGATTTTTTTTTGTCTGAATTTATTATTATGATTCAAGTATATAAAACGATATGTTTACTATTATTGTTTATAATAAAAAAAATCGTGGCATATCGAAAAATAAATTTTTCAACATAAAATTTTATTATATCCGTCATTAAACAAAGCAAGTTTGGCACAAGCATAGGGAAGCGTGTACATATATAGGTATATCTATAAGGAACAAGAAGGGATTAAAAAATAAAATAAAATCGAGTTGTTGATTTGTGCACAAATATTAGTTCAAAGTTCTACTCTATACATGTTGATTCACTCGGAATATCAATTCTAAAAACTTTAATTGATCTGTTGATTTTTAAGTATACCAAAAGAATTGGAATACCCTTTTTTTTCTTGACCTGGAACTCTTCCGNAAACTTTAATTGATCTGTTGATTTTTAAGTATACCAAAAGAATTGGAATACCCTTTTTTTTCTTGACCTGGAACTCTTCCGAGGCAGGGCTTTTTGGACTCATCCTTCTGAATAAACCTGAATTACCTGCAAGCCATAAATATTGATTAATTCAAGATACATTAACCAGTGTCAAATTCAAAACATCTGCATATACAACGCGCCCCATAGTTAACTTTACCCGCTGGGCCACCCGTGGGGTTAGTAATCCCATACTTGCTACTAGGCCAACTAACTATTTCCTCTCTCTAACAACGTATGTAACCATACATTTCTATCAATTTATGGAACAATATGGTCCTGTTTCCACAACTATAACAAGAAATAAAATAATAATAATACAACAATATCCAAACTCCATCTTCCCTGTCAGGCTTATCTTGAGTCATAAATCCAATTCCAAGTCATTAAATGCCTGCTTCTGCAGTACCATAACCTGTCAAACAAGGGCAGTTCAACCCCAGCTACTCACCAACTTAATGCTACATTGCCACACTTATCATCTTCAGCTATGAAGACATTCTCCAAAACTTGGGAATAGGCTAACGGAAATTAGCAGTTGGCCTAATGACCACCATCCCTGTTGTTAGAACTTAAGGTCGTAGGTTTGAACCTCATTATTCCCCTCCCCTGTAATAGCATCTGACCGAAAAAAGAGGAATCGCCTAATGGATGTTACAATGTCAAAGTAAACATCAAAAAATGATACTCATATTAGTAGGAAAAGGCCATTAACCCACACATTAACCAACATCCACTATCTTTACAAACCATTTATGTAGACATATATTAAAAAGTTCTGTATGCCAGATAGAGGGATTAGCATTTTATCATAAGCTAAGCTGTGAGTAATAAAGCACGCCAAAGGTACTGGATGTAAGTATATGGCTGAAACATTCTCAAAGCAAGTTTAGTCAACCATTTTTTACCAGGTCGATCGACCAATGACATGTCAGCCTGCTCATGATCAGCTGGAAACATCACCCTGGTCGCTCTTTCTTGTCCAGAAACGTCCAGTGGCTGCACTACTAGCAGCATTTGCATTCTCTCATGTTTTTTCATTTGCTGATCCTCTAGCTTCATTGCCTCTGAAACAAAAGTCCCTTCAAATTGCAACAGATCTTATCGTTCAGTACATTCCACTTCTAGGTGATGTTAGGATTCCTCACCAAGAGCGTATTTTGTCATGTTCAAGTTCTGTCCCTCAATGCCTAATACCTCCACTTTTTCTTTCCTCCAGAAAAAAAAAAACGGTGTAATAGCATCTACAAATATATAGGCAATATAGATAAATAATAGAGCACTGAAGAAATTAAAGCAATACTCGTGTCTATTGGACATGAGACACCACAGATATCAATCAACATGAATCTAGAGTAGTGCGTTGATTGGGAAAGCATGGCGTTGTGGGAAACCATAGGATTGCCCAAAAGCTTTAGAATTCTTATGGTTCCCCAATAAGTACACCGATCAAAGCAGAGCTGAAAAGTGTTTTGTCTGATCATGAGTCATTAACTTAGGCAAGAGGAGGGGTGCAGGTTCAAGTTTTAGCTTGGATACAGATGAATGCATGCTACCTATCAAACAAATAGGTATGCTTAATCAATAAGAACAGTTCACCTGCATTCCCANACAGATGAATGCATGCTACCTATCAAACAAATAGGTATGCTTAATCAATAAGAACAGTTCACCTGCATTCCCAACTTAAGATACTTCCTTGACATTTTTAACAACTGGATTAGTTATTCATTAATGTGTCAAGCATGCAACCACATATTAATTTTTGTTGATCTGCAAGCTCTTCCCTCTTCATCAACATAACTGGATCTTGAAACACGCAAATTTGATTGCTTCAATCGGCAAAGCCAATTTACCCTTTGGTTCTTTCTGGTTTTGATTTGCTATATTTAAACCCAACTGGAATCATTAAAAGTTCATGTGGGGTCACAATGCACCGACTGTTAAGACATTGATTCAAATTATTTTTATGATAGGAAACACAATTGTATTAAAAGTAAAAAGACGCCATACAAATAAAACTCATTTATGATCACACATGATTCAAATTATTCCTAACCACCTTAGGCCGATGTAAGATGCAATCATGACACTTTCTTTCACCTAGTATTAAAATATTGTTTATCCTGGTAGAGACAAACTTATGTCAGTTACCTAAGGTGTACAAACTACTTTAATGTTAAAGAAACCCAATTTGAGTACCCAAGCAATTGCACATTTGCATAGTCCTACAGTATATGCCAGAAAATTAAATTACATAATATGAAAGCACAACTTCCAGAACTCTCTGATGGCTGAATCATAGAGAGCTGCAGTTACAAATCACAAAACCAAATCATCTGAGTCATTTGCTAATAACTCCGGTTCAATGGGAAAATATGGATTGAGGAAGCAGGCATGCAAAGATAAAGAAAGCATACCTAGAGGCTTTGAAGTTCTCCTCCATCCATGAACCAGCCATTTAGAGGACCAACTGATCACTGCATGAGCATCAACCTTCAATGAGATATGTGTCCCGGTGGAACAGGTTTACATCTAAAAATTACTGTGATGAAGATACTACCTGTCAACAGCTGAACATTCTCCAGTTCTGCATTTACTCTTGACTGCAGATCAGCAACCCCCAGATGCACCAAAACCTTATACCATTAACTCCTTATCCTGGGCAAATGTAACCATTAAACAAAAATGAGACAACACAAACATCTAGCTTTACTTTGAGACTGCTACGAGTTAACGTTACGTTCGACAAATTTATCAAATTCATAGCAGCAATACCAACTGCAAGATCCATACTGCAAAATCATGGTTAAAAAAAAAAAAGTGGGTAGATAGTTAAAACTAATTCATAATTATAAGAATAAAAAATTCCTTCATACAAGCACTCCGGAAAAGTTAGGAGTCCTTGACGTGGGATCCGTACAATGTTGGATATCCTACATTAAAAGCCTCACCCAAAATACCACTGGTGTCAAAATTAAAAGAAAAACAAGGTTACCGTATTTTTACTTCTGCTAGCCCTTGTCCCACACATTTCCACTATTTAGATGGACAAAGTTAGATTCTACAGTCAAAAAAATTTTTAAAAAATTAACCACCAGTTTCCTCCCCATTAATAGGGGTCTGAAACTAGGAGATGCAAGATTGGGTAGAGACCTAACCTTCAACACTATTCACAAAGTGGTTGTCCTCAAGTTGGAACCCACCATCTCAATCAAAAGTATACAGTTGTTGGCTCTGCAATTAATTACACAGACAAAAAATAGATGTAATTTAATGTACTCCCTTGAATGTGCCTAGCTCATAGCTTCCCTTTCATATCCAATCTAGTCTCTTTTGTAACCAAATTATGTTCCTTAATTCTTGATGATTTTATATAGCTTTTTGCATTTCCTGCATCCAGTTGATAAACATATTCCTCAAATCCCAAGAAAGAGATCAGAATCCTCCTAAAGTCGTAAAAACAGAAATTAATTCAATTTAGATTAAAATCTGGAGTTTACTATGTAGAACCTTCTTAAATCACCGCCTAATTTCATCCATGTACAGTTCTCAGCCCAGTAGAACGTAACAATACTCTAATGTGACCAGTGCTATTTAAGGCGTAAAGCATATTGAAGTGTTTAGGTCTCTTGAGGCCTAGGCAAGAGGCGACAGGCAAAGCGAGAGCTTGATCGCAGTGAGACGAAAGTATACAAACCAAGCAAATATTATAGTTCAGTTACTACTAAATGTTCAAATGCAATCAAAAGCATAAATGTTTAAAATGAAACAAACACCAATAATATCTCGATCTTAATGGCAACCAAAAGCATGAAAATTTAAATTAAAAAAGACACCAATAATATCCCACATCCTAACATGTGAAAACAGAAAATACACAAGTCAAGCAACTAATTGTCAATGTTTCCACCTTAGAAATCATCCTCATCACCAAGCAAAAAGAAAAAATCACAAAAGTAGTCGCCTTGTTGCTTTTCGATTAAGTGGTGAAGTGCTCAGAACAATCCACAAATAAATTAAGAGGGGGCTTCTAAAGACTTTTTAAGAAACTGATGATAGTAAAGACAAAAAAGGCAAAACGAACCTCGAGACAAAAGCTCACACATGTGAGAATCAGAGCAATACAATTTAAATCTCTGCAACTCAAACATAATTANTCTGCAATTAATTACACAGACAAAAAATAGATGTAATTTAATGTACTCCCTTGAATGTGCCTAGCTCATAGCTTCCCTTTCATATCCAATCTAGTCTCTTTTGTAACCAAATTATGTTCCTTAATTCTTGATGATTTTATATAGCTTTTTGCATTTCCTGCATCCAGTTGATAAACATATTCCTCAAATCCCAAGAAAGAGATCAGAATCCTCCTAAAGTCGTAAAAACAGAAATTAATTCAATTTAGATTAAAATCTGGAGTTTACTATGTAGAACCTTCTTAAATCACCGCCTAATTTCATCCATGTACAGTTCTCAGCCCAGTAGAACGTAACAATACTCTAATGTGACCAGTGCTATTTAAGGCGTAAAGCATATTGAAGTGTTTAGGTCTCTTGAGGCCTAGGCAAGAGGCGACAGGCAAAGCGAGAGCTTGATCGCAGTGAGACGAAAGTATACAAACCAAGCAAATATTATAGTTCAGTTACTACTAAATGTTCAAATGCAATCAAAAGCATAAATGTTTAAAATGAAACAAACACCAATAATATCTCGATCTTAATGGCAACCAAAAGCATGAAAATTTAAATTAAAAAAGACACCAATAATATCCCACATCCTAACATGTGAAAACAGAAAATACACAAGTCAAGCAACTAATTGTCAATGTTTCCACCTTAGAAATCATCCTCATCACCAAGCAAAAAGAAAAAATCACAAAAGTAGTCGCCTTGTTGCTTTTCGATTAAGTGGTGAAGTGCTCAGAACAATCCACAAATAAATTAAGAGGGGGCTTCTAAAGACTTTTTAAGAAACTGATGATAGTAAAGACAAAAAAGGCAAAACGAACCTCGAGACAAAAGCTCACACATGTGAGAATCAGAGCAATACAATTTACATCTCTGCAACTCAAACATAATTACAAAAACCCTCACTACCATGAGACACTCATGAATTACAATATACTCCACAACATTTTCAACCTGCCTCAAATGATTGACCAAACCAAACTAGTTTTTTCTTCCAAATCATATAAAGAGAGTACCAAAAACTTTAGCAAAAGGACCATCCCAGCAGAGTTGACAAGAATTAAACATGTAGAAAATTCGTATATATTTGGAAGTACCATTTTATGTTGTGGATTTTGCAGATTAGCAGAATAATTGGTCACCCACGAAATTATTAGTCAAGTGTTCAAAAGGAATCTGACTTGTAGAAATCCCACAAGATCTAGCAAAAAAAAAAGGTTTTTGAGAATATGAAGCCATTGGGCACCTTGATAGTCCATTTGTATTGACTCAAGTCATCACTGCTTCAAATATTTCATACTGGATTTGGCTTTGTCCCAGTTTGTCCCACATCGAAAAAATATCATCCATCAAACTAGTATATGATCCTTGTGGACCCATCTGCCTATTACCAATTGGTTTTGCGTTGGATGTTAGCATCAACGATGGGCTCCGGCAGGGTTTGGGCATGACTCAATTTGGTAATTAAATTCCCCTTTGTTTGTAGAATATGTGCACTTGTCATGTATCCAAATTTCCAAACTGATTCTTTTGTTTATCTATTCACGTGCAAGTGGAATTCTGACCTACATGATTGTGTTAGAGGTACAGGGTAGTGTTAGAGCTTACCACGCATTGATGAAATAATATCTCCCAGCCAATATATGACCCTTGTGGACCTATCCATCAATTACCAATTGGTTTTTAGTTACATGCTTTAAAAAATTTAAAGAAACATGTTAAAAAAGCCAAAGTATTATCAAAGGCCTTTTTGAATGATCCTTCCGCTGCAACTTTAGTACACCAATTGTCGTAGGTTCCCCTTCTAGAAGTGTGCAGATTATTTGCCCTCACTTGCTTCTCAGAATCCTTAACATGCACATATCAACTAGAACTAATTTTTTAACATGAAGTGTGCAGATTATTTGCCCTCACTTGCTTCTCAGAATCCTTAACATGCACATATCAACTAGAACTAATTTTTTAACATAGTGTTTCATAATTCCCTTAATCGTCATTGGCTTACAACGACATCATACAGTTTGGCTAATTTCACTCACAAAAGACATAACATGCCAACACCATCTCCACTTTCCCCTTTAGCGCATTTGACTTAATATGATTATACTTTATAAAAATAAGTATCTCAAGGTTATGAAATACTGACTTCAGTATTTATCTCCAGAATGTTGTCCAAAAAGTTGCAGTGCTCGGTGCTACACAAGAAAACTATTTTTTTTTTCATTTTTCTGATTGTTTCCAAGGGAATCTATTTAAACTGAAAAATCAGCCAATATCTACTGCAAACAGTGTTTGCAAAAGAGGCAGAACAGGTATACATAACAAGAGTTAAAAAAAAAAAAAGATATGCTAGAGCAGAGACTGTCAATTAAATGAAGAACAACAAAGATTTAAAGAAGGGTAACTTTCACAGACACCCTTAGAAAATAACCTAATTACAGGGACACCCCTATGGTTTTTCAAATATCACTGTTCCGCCCCTATAATTCATATGTCTGTTTCAATTACTACCCCTACTGTCAATGATATGATACTACTGACAAGGCCAAAAAAGTGATGATGTTAGCGAATCTACATCCAACCAATCATCATTCAATTTTATTAAATTAACACAAAATTGACCTCAAATTTCATCAAATAAATATTCAATTTTCCTCAAATCAACCTTTAATTTCGCCAAATTAATAGCAATTTGATATTCTATTTCATTAATAACATGAAGTTGATTTGTTAACATCTAACAAAATAGGTGTGTCATGAAATTGAATGCTAATTGGTATTAAATTTGATAAAATAGGTGTTAATTAGATTAAATTGAATTTTAATTTGATAAATTGAAATTCAATTTGATGAAACTAAATTCTAAATTAAATAAATTGAATATTAATTTGACTTTAATTTGACGAAATTAAATTTTAAAATGTTAATTTGGTGGTAAATAGATGAAATTAATGTTAATGTGATGAAATTAATATTTGAATTAATGAAATTAAATATCAATTTGATGAAACTAAATTCTATATTAAATAAATTGAATGCTATTGTGAAAAAAATCAATCTTAAAATGTTAATTTGATGAAGTTCAATATGAATTCAATGAAATTAAATATTAATTTGGTATTAAATTGATGAAATTAGGGTTAGTGTGATGAAATTAATATTTGAATTAATGAAACTAAATGTCAATTTGATGAAACTAAATTCTAAATTAAATAAATTGAATGTTAATTTGACGAAATTAAATTTTAAAATATTAATTTGATGAAATTTAATATGAATTTGATAAAATTATATATTAATTTGATGTTAAATTGATGAAATTAGTGGTAATGTGATGAAATTAATATCTGAATTAATGAAAGTAAAAGTCAATTGATAAAATTAACTATGAAATTGATAAATTTGATGAAACTGATGAAATTGAAAATCAATTTTAATTAAATTTAATGTTCTGTTAAGGGTAAATGAGTAAAAAGGGTTTTCTGTTAACGGTAATTATGTAAAAGTAGAATTTCCGTCTATTTCGTTAAAGACAAAATCTGACATGGGGTGATAGTAATATTTCAGAAACTATAGGGGGTGTCCCTGCAATTAGGCTATTTTC